CTCTCCACCTTCAGGAATGATCAGAGAGTGAGGGATCAACTTGAAGGGAACTCTCCATCTTGACATCACGGCGAGTTAGTTCTTCTTGGAAAGAGAGAAACTCGGCCACGTGAGTCAGAACAACACCAGGAACATGAGAATTAACACGAGGGCATTCCCATCTCGTAGCTTCTTTGTTAATAATGAGAGGAAGTCATCTTAGTTTGCAGAAGATATCCAAAAGGAAAAGGAGAAAAAGTTGAAAAGTTGGAGAAATGTGGAGTGAATGAGGAATGAAGGTCCAACTTATAAGAATATTTCTGCAATAAAATAATCGAGAATTTTTTTTTGTGATTATCTTAGAAGAACTCATAACCGTAGATACCAATTAAACGCACATCACTCACCTCCAAGAATCACACTCAAGACTTGCGAGCTGGGGGACTAACTGTTTGGGTCAAAAACGGTAAAATCAAAATCAACGTCCAGGATCGTTAAGATATCATTTAAGAAACTCGTTCAAAATAAATTCAGGGAAAACCTTAAGGGATACGATTCAGAGCAGCGAGAACTATACGAGGATATGCAGAGCGACCGCGACCACGTCCACATAACCATTAGGACACTGCATCGTGTCCCCCGTCTCGTCGTCAGCTAGCGACAAGACCGTCTCTCATCGCCAGCTGGCTACGAGATGATTTGCTTGTCTCGTCGCCAGCTGGAGAGGAGACCATATGCTTGTCTTGTTTCCAGCTGGCGAAAAGACCATCTTCTCATCGCGTTACCAGCTGGTGACAAGACCATCTTCTCCTCGCCAGCTTGCGAGGAGACCTTCTCCTCGCCTCGTCGCCAGCAAGTGACCAGACTCTCTCCCGCACAGTTTTGATCAAACTATCTTTTTGGCTCCTCTTGCTTGGAGTTTCTGTCAAAGTTTTACGATGAAAACTGCAAGGACTTGTTTTCTCGTAAAACTCCAAATCAATCCCATAAAACAGTAATGATTACTCGACACCATAACTCAAGACCATTGTTATCTAAACTATACGATTGGATTTACTATCTCGTGGAACCAACAGTAGAAAAACCAACATTGTATGGAAGGTGACTTATTTGAAAGAAATCGTAAAAATGTCTAAGTTGGAAAACGGTCCAAAAAGGCCTTAAACGCTGCAAATTCTCGCTTACGATTTCATACGAGAATGAGCCCAAACTATAATATCAGTTTTCTTGGTTTTTTGTAAAAGATAAATGTAAAAGAAGATAAATGTTAAGATTCTAAGATAATCATGACAATTGAGAAGATAAAGAAAATTTTTGTGAAGAGATAAAGTCGAGTCAATGGCAGAAAGGAAAAATGACTGACCTAGAAGACATATATAAGGACAGCTAAGTCGAGGAGCAAAGGGTGATGAAAGTTAGACCTTCGAAAAATTCTGATAGCTTTAGGGAACTTAGGACCTAGGTGGCTAGACTAGCGAGTTCAGCAATTAGAACGGTTTTACTACTTTGTTCTCTTGTTCTCCACTGTTGACAAATTTTCATCCACATTGTTTTCGGTGAAACTCTGTAAACCTTCTCACTTTTAAATCAATAAAACGCCTCTGAGAAATTTCTTAAAATATTTTTTTCAACTCTTTCTTTTTTCGTATTCGTGTGTTTACGCAGGAAATTTGAAATTTCAAGGAAAGTTGGGAATCTTGATTTTCCTCCAGTTACTAAAATCACCAGCGCAAATTTCAGTTCTTAAAACATCAATGACTGTCACAACACTCCACCCGAATGTCGAACCCTTGCGAGTCAATCCTAACAAGAACTCCATTGCTTTATAGATTTTTCCGTTATAACATGATTAATAATGTTATACCCTCAAAGTCGATGCCCAAATGAAAAAACCCAATATCTCTCACAAGAATCAACCATGATCATCTTATTACAAAACATGCAACCTAAAAATGCATCAATCAATACTCATGTATTGCAGACGCTAACCAACACATTCAACAATCAAAACCCTTAAGTGATACTCACATGTGCGATTGTGTGGTTTGGCCTTAACACGGTATACTTATCAGACTCAACCACCTCTATCTCACGGTTGGCACACATTGAAACCCTTATCGAATTAATCTTAGAACAGACGGATTCTCGCTATTCCGTAGTTAGGAACTGGGATCTAAATAAAAATAAAAATAAAGAATTTAAAACTAAGTTTAAAAGGAAACTGAAGACTAGAAGGTTTACCTTCTGGCTCAGATGTTCACAGTGCTCATGGTCAGTTTTTTGGTGTGGGAATGAACTAAGAGGTGAGGATCTATTTATAGGTATAGAACTAAGGAAGTTTATAGTCGTGGGTAGCAAGCAAGAGGTGGCTTGGCCGCCCAAACCAACCAATCTTGGAGGTGGTTCAGTCAAGGGGAGACATATGTCTAGCTACTTGGAGGAGGAGTGCAAGTAGATGCATCCACCATAAGCCTCCAGATGCACACAACACGTAGTAGACAAACCCTAACAAGCAATGTTTAGTACCAAATGTGTCATTCTCTAATCGGGACTGACAAAAATGTATTTCATTAGCCAACACCTTGCTTTACCAAACCAAAACACTTCTAAAATAATTCTAAGGTTATTCTTCTGACATCACTTGTGGTATTTCCATTCTCCAATTCCATAATATTTTCTTGACTATCAAGAAGTAATTTCTTTACCAATCTAGTTGATACTCTGACCGATTCAACTTTTACTCTGTCCATAACCACTTTTTGAAGACTTTTTCAAAAACACCTATATCTATTTTTGGCTTCCCGATGCATCATGGATTCTTTGAAACGTTTAACACTCTTCTGGCCATTCAACTTACTGCACTATTTCCTTGGGTTAAACTCCTTCTACTGATTATCCATATTTATTTACCCATTAGAACTTAGGCCGCTCATCAAAACCACCATGGCTCAAAGTTATTTATTCAGCCATCCTGTGCCCATATTCGTGGTAATACCTCAACCGTTTTCCACTCGACCATTCTTTGGTTTTGTTCACATCCTTATTCCTATTAACGGTTATTACAATAAACCACTTTGCAAGAGAATAATTGGGAGACTTAACCACTGTAATGCCTTGAACTCACTTCCAGAACCAAACAAGCTGAAGATAAGAGCTAGTAGATACCACCACAACGACCAACAACCAAAAAAAAAATTCCATACCGAAACTTAGCAAACCACAACGCACCAGAAAACAAGGAGACGAAGCAGCGACACAGATTTTCAACTCTAAAAATGAGCCTTAGACAGAGAGTTAAGACCACAAAATCACAAGAACCAGTGCATATGATTAAATCACATACCATATATTGCCACACGTCCTAGGTGAATCTAATCCTCACCAAGACAAGATAGTTAAAAATATTCAAACCTAACATCAACTAACCATAACATCCAACAGACTCTCAGCCAACACCAACTAGGTTATAAAACTTAGGATAAAAACATTACTGAGGACTGAACCAAGGAAGTAACAGATTATCAAATAAAAAAATTAATTAATAAATATTTCATATATATATATATATATATATTTATGTTAATTTGACTAATCTAAAGGCAATTTTATAATGTATTAATCTACATTTTATTTCTCCAACTAATCAAGACGAAGTCTTATATGGACAAATTCTATATCTATGTATTCTATTTAACCAGATTTATCAATTTTTTTTGTCAATGGCATCTAAACTATTTAAAGTTGTTTATATATCAAAACAGGCAGATTAAACATATGTTAATGAAAATAAAAGTTAATTTGTCACTTAAAATACTCTTTACACAAGATCAATCAATAAAGATTCATTTATTTTGTAAACCAAACTACCAATTAAATAGCTAAGATTGCATGAACTTTCACAGAATTTATTTGTTTTTTTAATAAAGTTATTATATTGCAGTCTTTAAAGACCCTCTCTCGTCTCTTCTAGAGAGAGAGAGAGAGAGAGAGTTTCTCTCTATTCCTTCTTACCAAAATTTCATCCTTCAGAAGGAAGAGAGATTCAGGTCATCTTTTTGTTCTTTTGTTGTATATTATATCGAACTTCCTTTTCCGGTTAGCAGATTCCCTCTTCGGATTAGCCGATTTTGTGTTTCACTTTGGCGAGTTTTTGTTTCTTCTCATATCAGAGCAATACTTCATGATTTTATCTATCTCTGATTATGAGTTGTTTTTAGTCTCTTCCACGATCTTAATCCAAAATTCCGTTTGCTCTTGATGAAGAATCTTTGTTGAAGGATAAGCTATGACTCCTTTTTTCATAGAAATCAGACTCTATCTCTTGAATCTCGTCGGAATAACAGTTTATCGTGGAGCTTTCTTGGTGCAAAGGATGAGTAGACGTTGATTTCATCTTAGTTGTTTCAAAAATAATTCAGCAGAGTTGGTTTTCGTGTTTGAACAGTCCAACAAAGAATTTATTTTGGTCCAATTGGGCAAATCCAAGATTTAATATCCGGAGATGCATGATTTCTAGTCATCAATTATGGCGATATTCAGAAGAGAATCTTGATAGGAGTACAAAGCAAAGAGATGGAGGAGTTGCAGAAAGAGGAAGAAAACGCCGGGATTGTGATTGGAAAACCATGTTGGCGGTGAAGAAAAAGCAAGTTCCAATCTGCATATCTGTGTTTGGACACGTAGCATAGAGTTAATTGAATATCTTATACGTGTTCTTTTATGTGTATAGCTGTAATCTGTACTCTTATCTATCTTGATGCTTTATAAAAAGCATGTTGACAACAAAAAAAATTATATTGAGGTCTTTCCAGATTATATTACTCGATTGAGTAATTGAATAAGTAACAAAAAGAAAAAAAAAAACTAATTTCAGCCGATGGTTATGGACTTTCTAGGCCCAAGTAAGAAAAACCCATTGGGGACAGAGAGCGAGAGCAAAGATATAGACCACGTCAGCACGTGAAACCCTCTCCAACTACCCTTTCGTGCTTAGCTGTCCACTCTCTCTCTCTCTCTCTCTCTCTCTCTCATCTTCCCCACTTGCCGTCTTCTGCGTCTTCATCTTCTCTCTAGCTCTTTTCTTCCTCCATCTTCCGTATTTTATCTTCCTTTCTCTAGATTCTCTCTTTCGATTTCGTCAAAATCTTAGTTGTAGATTCCCAACGATTGTGATGCCTACTTGGTGGGTGAGGAAGTCCGGAAAGAACAAAGACGATTCTCACCTTGTTCAGACCCAAACTCGTTGTATTGCCGACAAGAGTATCAGAAGAATCTCCGCTGATAACAAATCCAACGGTGATCCCGTCACTTCTTCTCGCTGCACCCCACGTTCCAGCCGTGAATTCACCGGCGCTTCTGGTTTCTCCGACGAGAAGAAGTGCCATCCTCTCCCTCTCCCATCGGTCTCTACTTTGGTTCCTAACGATCACGTAAGCGGATCTGTTTCTGGATCGGCTTCTGTTTCAAGCGTTAGCTCATCTGGATCAGCTGAAGATCAGAGTCAACCCACTGCTCCTAGGTCCGATTTCCCCCTTTTTATTGATTGGAAATTCTAAATGTTTTGCGTATCTAAGTGTCTTATTAAAGTTAGGATTTGCTGTTTGATAATCTGTGGATTGCGGTTCTGACTCATAAACATATAGCAGGAAATCTAATGCAGCAGCAGCTTCTCCAAAGGCAGGAACTAAATCCACCTCTCCACTGCATAACAGATTCTCTGGCATGACCTTAGAGTCTTCGACAGGGAGGTATGATGATGGGAGGTTCTCTGAATACCACCCTTTGCCTCTACCGCCTGCTTCTCCAACAAGCCCCTCTGTTGTGCTTCCGTGTTCTCCTACAAGCCCTTCTGCTGTGCAAGGCTCTTGGGTTGTAGGAGGGTCAGAGTCGTCTCCTTTGGGGGTTTCCAAGTGGAAAAAAGGGAGGTTTATAGGGAGTGGCACCTTTGGGAAAGTCTATCAAGGGTTTAACAGGTGATAATCAAATTCCATTGGCTTAGTTTTTAGATGACAAGGGTTGGCTATCCTTGGTTTTAGCATGGTGCAGTGTTGTCTTAGATGATGCTAGCTTTCGCTGTAGGCTATGTATATTGATATTTGGGCCAATTTCTCTCTTAAACCAGTAACCATAGTTGCTATGTGTGATTGGTTTCGGGTGTATCCAATGGTTTACCAGTTATATGCTGTTGGATAATGTTTTTGGTACGTTCATATAACTTCTTGCGATTCTTATAGTGAGGAAGGAAGAATTTGTGCTATTAAAGAGGTCAAAGTCATTTCTGACGACAAAAACTCAAAGGAATGTCTGAAGCAACTAAATCAGGTTTGTTTAAATCACCTTATCTTCTGTATATGACTGAAGACTCTAATATTGGTCACACCTATAACCGGACTAATTTGATTTGCAGGAGATAAATGTGCTGAGCCAGCTTTGTCATCCGAATATTGTTCAATATTACGGAAGTGAACTGGTAAGTGTTGCGTTTTAGCACGTAATATTGTTATATGGAAACCATACTAAAGCCTCGCTGGACATGTGTTTGCATATTTGTTATGCTTGTAGAGTGAAGAAACCTTGTCCGTTTACTTGGAGTATGTGTCAGGTGGCTCAATCCATAAACTACTCACGGAGTATGGTGCTTTCACTGAACCTGTTATACAAAACTACACACGGCAGATTCTGTCTGGGCTTGCCTATTTGCATGGACGAAATACAGTGCATAGGTAGTTTGGCTGTAATATCCGAAACTTCAGCGGCCTCTTCTTGGAAATAATGATAAACTGTTAGTTTGCTTTAACAGGGACATCAAAGGAGCAAATATATTAGTGGATCCGAATGGTGAAATCAAGTTGGCAGATTTTGGGATGGCCAAACATGTAAGTATGAATAAAAGGTTATTTTAGACTGGATCGGCAGCAGAAGCTATCAATTATTTTATATTCTTGGTTATATAAATCTTGAAAATTATGCTTGCTTCTTATATCCGTTTCTTTCTGCAACAGGTAACAGCCTATTCTACTATGCTTTCTTTCACGGGGAGTCCTTATTGGATGGCACCCGAGGTAGTTTTCCCTTTCTTTTCACTTTCTTGGAGAAGTTCCTGCACATGGTGCATGGACATTATGTTCTTGCAGCCTCATGCTTCTGTTTTCCTCTAGGTTGTGATGCACAAAAATGGCTACACTCTTGCAGTCGATGTGTGGAGTTTGGGTTGTACTATTCTCGAAATGGCGACAGCAAAACCACCTTGGAGTCAGTTTGAAGGGGTATATGATACAGACGAGATGACATAATCTTTTATTCACTCATCTTTCTATTAATCTAAATTCCAAGTTGTCTCGTCTCACTATCTTTGTCAGGTCGCCGCAATTTTCAAAATCGGGAACAGCAAAGACATGCCAGAAATACCTGATCACCTTTCAAATGATGCAAAAACTTTTATAAGACTTTGTCTGCAACGAAATCCAACAGTACGTCCTACAGCTGCTCAGCTTCTAGAACACCCTTTTCTACGTGTACACTCACCGAGAGTGGCTACTACTAGCATGCACAAAGATGCCTCCCCACGAATCTCCGATGGAATCTCTACAATGGTATGTGTATTATCTATATGTTGACCTTGATTACTTTGATTTCCTTCTAACAAGCTTAACTTCGATATCCTTCTTGAGCAGCCTACAAGGGAACCACCCTATTCAGGGAGACATCCCGTCTTTCATCCTATAAAGAGCCCGAGGTAAAAAAGGGTTTGTGCCTCAATCTGTATCGTCAAACTAAACCCGTCTTTCTTTCGTACTTTGCAGCAGAGAAAACGCAAGAGCCATCACATCCTTGCCTGTATCTCCATGTTCAAGCCCTTTACGGCAACTTGGACCAGCATACAAAAGTTGTTTCCTGTCACCTCCTCATTCGTCTTATGCATTTCCTGTGCAAGACAGTGGGTACACCCAAGCGGAGTTTGCTGCAAGTCCTTTTAGGTTCAAGAAAGACACAATAACAGAGCAATCTAGTTACAGAGCCCAAACGTCGAATTCAACCTTCAGATCAAGACTGGTGTAGAAAATTTAAGTGAAGATTGAGATTTTTGAGTGAGCCGCAACCAAAGAGTTGGCCCAAGGAGAATGTATAGACACAGTCTCTCTCCTAGTTTGGCTCTCCTTCTCTAGACTCTGGTCTGTGTGTGGGAGAATCAGAACTGGAACAAGAGGAGGAAGGGTTATGTGTAAACAGGGGTAAAAAAAGAAGAAAAAAATGTAAAAAGCAACATGAACATGAATACAAAGATTATAGAAGTGACAATTAAAGATAGTAAGTTGTGTTTTTATACAATGATGATATGAAATTCAGTCTTTTGTTCTCAAAAACAACCCTGAGTGTTGTATGGTTCACAGTGTAAATATTTCCTTAGAAAAAGTTGATGAGTTTGATTATTTCTAATCTTTTGGGTTTTTAAGGTTTAAAGACTTAGTCTCGTGTTCGCTGACTCAGTTTACACTGACTCGATCTGTTCGTTATTAAGAGATCCGTGAAGTGTTTTACAAGTAATCAAGTTCGAATTCTTAACAAATTGATGCGTTTGTGACTTGGATCGAGAATGGCTACGTTGCTCACAATTACCAGAGCGCCGATCAACAAGATTTCTCGCCGATTGAATGAGCTGGAGGTTGGTTATTGAGCTTCGGCAGAGGAACAGCTCACTCTTTCCGTTGAGTTCTGTCATCTGGAGAATCGTTTCGATTCGTGTTTTCATCAATTTTGGGTGAGGATGGAAGCAAATCTGGAACAACTATTTCAATCTTTGCCTCTATTGGAAACGCAAGTATTAGGAAGAGAAACGAGTCGACTGTTGGGTCAAAATTAGCTACGACAGAATTAATGGCTAAAAGTCTCGTAAAAAGCATACAAAAAAACGGTTAACTTTCTATAAAGATACGAAGTGATACGTCCTGAATTAGATCACTCGACCGGTAAAGGTTTGATATGAACTCCGAAGAGAACTGATGGATTGAATGACGACACAATGGGTTGCGGAAGGCCCAATGATACTGCCAGGGTGCTTGAAAGTCGCCTGATATGACTCACAGGTCCGACAAAGAAGCAAACTCGATCTGTTGCCGGATGTGACGTACCGGTCCAACAAGAAAGAGGATCGAAACTTGGAGATAACCTCACCAAGAAACTAAGAAATGTTCTTAACAAAGAACAAAGAGATAAACTCATAAAAAGGGGGAAACAATCTGCTTTATTTTGTGGCTTATAGTGCCTTATTTATAGGATTACAAGTTGTAGAGTTCCAAAGAATAATGTGCTTAAAATAAGACATTGAAAATTGAAACAAAGACTTGACTAAATAAATTCTTTGACTGAAACTTTGACTGCCTCCTGATATAGCCACGACCTTGACTTGGGGAAGTGAAGAATATACTCCTGAAATGGGTCAAGACATGTCTCTTTAAGGCCTGGTCGAAATCCATCTTTTTTTCTTAGCCATTTTTATCGGTTTCTCCATTCGGTCCAAACAAGTCTATTTTTGATCAGTTTTTTTTTGAAAGCCATCAAGCCCAAGGCTTTCTTGGATATTTAGAATATGAATAATCACCTTTGGCATGATTGAATTGGTCGTTAATTCATCAGAAAGAAGGCTAGCCATTTCGAGCTTCTCGGGTGGTCGAACAAGCTCAGAAGATCAAACCATCTTGCTCAGCTCGTGCAGATGAGTGTCTGTCCAGCTAAGCTCGTCCAGGATAGTGTAATTATAGCTCACTTGAGTATTCAGCTCATCCAGCTCAGCTAGATAGGTTTCACTTTGATTCAGCTCGACCAGCTCGCCCATGTAAGTGTCAGCCCGATTCAGTTCAACTACACGCACTTCAGCTGGTTTCAGCTTGTCCTCAGTTTCATCAGCTAGCCTTCGCTCATCCAAGATTGCATAGATGATAAGGGAATTGACATAATCTGATGAGAAAACCTTGATTAGGTCTAGCTGGTCGACAAGAACGCCACCTTGAGCCGTGTCCATGATCCAAACTAGTCAGTGCTCGATCCAGGGCGTATCATACTCTCCCTCTTCAAAAGAATTTTTCCTCAATCCATTTTACATGAATCAAAAGAAAATGAATCAGAAAAAAGAATTTTAAAAACAAGTAAAATTTAATGAAGGATAAATTTGGAGAGAAACTTCCTTGGAGTTTTGAACTGTTTTTCCTCAAGTTCGTCAAGTTCCATGCTCCAAGAACACCAGTGTTGTGTCGACCTACTCTGCTTTCTTCCATCTGAATCTGATCCTTTTTATCCTGCACTCTCAAGACAACTAGAGAAACCACATCAAATCTGCAAAATAAATAATCAAAGGGTTTCTCTATCCTTAAGACATCAAAAATATGATCCAAGCTCTTAGGATGATCATCAAGCATGTGGGTAAACATCAAGCAAGTAAAATGAGTGCCAAAAGTTGGTTTACTAATTTTAAAACCAGGCATAGCTGTCAAAAGTTTAGGAAAAGAATGAGACAGTGCCAATTTCGAAAACTTCTCATCATGAACGAAATCAAACTGATTCTCTGACTTAAGCAATTTTGGTTCATGCTTCTTCCTACACCAAATTTCTTTCAATGCACAGCTTAATGAAAACAACTCATGAAAAGGTTTAAGCAAAAAAATTTTCAACCAAGTAAACATATGTTTTTGCTTAGAAATTCTCAGTTTCAAAACGTTTTCATGATGAGCAGAAACAATCAACCCATGATCCTTACAGTGCTTTTGGATATGATGTATTGACTTAGGAAACACCTTTGGTTCATTGAGGATCGCCAGTTCCAATGGTTTTATTTGTGGTGAACTCTTTGCTGCTTCTTTTTTTGGGTTTTCTTCGGTTTCTTTGCTAAGTGATGAAAGCTGTTTTGTCTTTGGTCTAGCCAAGTTTGGTGAATGGATCATAACTTCATAATTCCATGGTCATTTCTCTTGATTTTGGTCTTTCTGAAAATCTGGGAGATCCATCTTGAATCCTATGACTGGCTTTGGCTCAGGCCGCTTCTTTACTGTGCCTGAATCTCCTTTAGAAGTCTGGTATTCACAAATAGACGGACTGGAGAACCTTCGGTTTGAAAAATTCATAACTCCTTCATCCGTGAAGCTTTTCATGTAATTCCAAGCCTCCGTGAATATTTTGTGAGTTGGTTTTCCATGGAAACTAGATTCATGACAAAAGACCTTCTTAATGTTGAGATATTTGCCTTGGACTGAACCTCTATCGCTGCCATCTCCAAGGTAGCCGGTTTGGACAACAAAGCTTCTCCAAATCTCAGTCTGTTGGGCACGGTCAATGCTATCATTTCTCAGAGGCTGAACCTGTCTTTCCTGGATACTCAACAAAAACACTAAAAGACCAGGATCAAATGTGCAAGACAAATACTTGTTCAAATCAAAAATCAATATGTCTTTTCCAAGAACAAGTAGCACCCATTTCAGCCTGTCAAGATGCACATCAAAGTAGACAATACAGACCATAATTTTATCAAGATATGCAAAATTATTATTCATTTTCAAGACGTGCATATCCTGCTCAACATCTGAACACGCAAGCTTAAGTTCAGATTGAGAATCAACTATCAAATACTGAATATGTTTTTCAAAGAAAATGTTGTAAACCACAATATCATCACAGTTCAAGACAACACAATGATTAAGAAATGATCTCAGAAAATAACAAGTTTTATCAGTTTTAGAACACACAAGACTAGGATGCAAAACATAATTACCAAAATCAAGATCACAATAATCAGTTTAAGTTCTAAGTGATACGTCCTGAATTAGATCACTCGACCTGTAAGAGTTTGATATGAACTCCGAAGAGAACTGATGGATTGAATGACGACACAATGGGTTGCGGAAGGCCCAATGATACTGCCAGGGTGCTTGAATGTCTCCTGATATGACTCACAGGTCCGACAAGGAAGCAAACTCGATCTGTTGTCAGATGTGACGCACCGGTCCAACAAGAAAGAGGATCAAAACTTGGAGATAACCTCACCAAGAAACTAAGAAATGTTCTAAACAAAGAACAAAGAGATAAACTCATAAAAAGGGGGAAACAATCTGCTTTATTTCTTGGCTTATAGTGTCTTATTTATAGGATTACAAATTGTAGAGTTCCGAAGAAGAATGTGCTAAAAACAAGACATTGAAAAATGAAACAAAAACTTGACTAAATAAATTCTTTGACTGAAACTTGGACTGCCTCTTGATATAGCCACGACCTTGATTTGGGGAAGTGAATAATATACTCTTAAAATGGGTCAAGACATGTCTCTTTAAGGCCTGGTCGAAATCCATCTTTTTTTCTTCGCCATTTTTATCGGTTTCTCCATTCGGTCCAAACAATTTTTTTTTTGAATCATTTTTTTTTTGAAAGCCATCAAGCCCAAGGATTTCTTGGATAGTTAGAATATGAATAATTACCTTTGGCATGATTGAATTGGTCGTTGGTTCATCAGAAAGAAGGCTAGCCATTTCGAGCTTCTCGGGTGGTCGAACCAGCTCAGAAGATCGAACCATCTTGCTCAGCTCGTCCAGATGAGTGTCTGTCCAGCTAAGCTCGTCAAGGATAGTGTAATTACAGCTCACTTGAGTATTCAGCTCATCCAGCTCAGCTAGAGAGGTTTCACTTTGATTCAGCTCGACCAGCTCGCCCATGTAAGTGTCAGCCCGATTCAGTTCAAGTACACACACTTCAGCTGGTTTCAGCTTTTCCTCAGTTTTATCAGTGAGCCTTAGCTCATCCAAGATTGCATAGATGATAAGGGAATTGACATGATCTGATGAGAAAACCTTGATTAGATCTAGCTGGTCAACAAGAACGCCACCTTGAGCCGTGTCCATGATCCAAACTAGTAGGTGCTCGATCCAGGGCGTATCACGAAGTTACGGAAAACTCGTATAAAAGTATGAAATAATAAAAAAGTTCTCCTCTTGAGGTAAAAAACGGTAATCTCGAAATCAACGTCTACGATTACTTCTCTTTATGTTCTCCGAAAGAATCTCGGGTCGAGAAGAAAAGAAACGACTGAAGCTGGACAGCCGACCAGCCAACCAGCTCGCTAAGACGGAGAGCTGGCCCGACCAATCCAGCTTGCTGGCTTGGTGACCTGACCGAGACCGATCAGCTTGCCAAGACGGCGAGCTGGACGGACCAATCCAGCTCGCCGGCTTGGCAAGCTGACCAAGCCCGATCTGCTCGCCAAGACGGCGAGCTGGACAGACCAATCCAGCTCGCCGGCTTGGCAAGCTGACCAAGACCAATCAGCTCGCCAAGACGAAGAGCTAAACAGACCAATCCAGCTCGCCGGCTTGGCGAGCTGAGCAAGACCGATCTGCTGGCCAAGGCGGCAACTTGGACGGACCAATCCAGCTCGCCGGCTTGGCGAGCTGACCAAGACCGATTAGCTCG